TCCATCACAATCATTTTAAATGTCTGGTCATGTTCCATAGTGTTATGTATACTCACTTTGCTTTGCAATCAGACTCCAGAACTCTTTTCATCCCACAAAACAGAAACTCTGCACCCATTAAACAACAGCCCTCCATTCCCTACTCTAGCAAGCCCCTGGAAACCACTATTTTACTTTCAATCTATATGGATTTGTTTACTATAAGTACCCCATCAAAGTGGAATCACATAGCATTTGTTTTTGTGATAGCTGACTTACGTCATTTAGCATAATGTCCTCAAATTTCATTCATGTTGTGCCAGAATTCCTTTCCATTCCAGGGTTAAAGAAAATTCCATTGCAAGTAGCCTTTGACTATAGTGTAAATTAAAAATACACTATCTCAAAAATGAAAGACGGAAAGAAAGAAGGAAAAATGGAGGAAGGGAAGGAAAGAAAGAGGAAGGGAAGTATAATTATATTCTTAGAATTTTATCTATGAACTACATTGAATATATTCTCTTTGTGTTAATATCACATTAACATGAGAACTAATAAGAATGGTATTGTGGTGATTATCATACATTTGCTGTGATCCTGAAAGTCTAATGTACCGATAAATTCATTAAAAATAATGAAGTCAATATCTAGGTCACAAGCAAAATAATTCCATTGCAAGTACATACCATATTTTGTTCACCTACTCATCAGTTAATAGACACTGGTGTTGCTACCATCTTTTGGCTATTGCGAATAATGCTGTTACTAACATGGATATACACACGCCTCTTTGAGATCTTTCTTTCATTTCCTTTGGGTACATACCTACAAGTGGAATTGCTGGATCATATAATGGATATGTTTTAAAATTTTTGTGTAACTACTAATGCTGTTTTCAATAGCAACTGCAACATTTTATATTACCACTAACAGAACCCTAAAAAGGCTCCAATATCTTCATATCTTCCCAACATGGATAATTTTTTAATAGTAGACATTCTACTGGATGTGAAGTAGTATCACGTTGTGATCTAGATTTGTGTTTTCAAAATGATTAATCATGTTGAGCGTCTTTTTACATGGCCATTTATATATCTTTTTGGAGAAATGTCAAAGGGATTGAGACACACACACACAGAGAAGACTTTTCCATATGCTGGTTCACTCACCAATTGCTCACAACAGCTGGTGCTGGGCCTGTACAAAGCCAAAAGCCTGGAACTCAACCTGAGTCTCCCATGTGGGTGGCAGGGACTCAGTTACTTAAACTTTCACCACTGCCTCCCAGGATGTGGGTTAGCAGCTGAAATCAGAAGCAGAGCTGGGACATGAGACCAGGCACTATGAAATGGAATGTGGGCAACCCAAGTGGCATCTTAATTATTGCACCAAATGCCCGTCTACATCAGAGACCTTTTTATGTCCACTTTATTAAATATTATCAAGAAAGGTTATTGAATTTTATCAAATACTCTTTATCTTATTTTCCTTATTTATGTGATTGACTTACTTCCTATACTAGCCTATCCTTAGGTTTTTGTTTATTTGCATTAACGTTTTCCCTTTAAATACCATCAAATTATATCAACAATGTTTTCTTTAATGTCCTCATAATTACATTTTTAAATGATACTGTTCAATAATTTCCTATTTTTATCTGCAAAAATCTTACTCCAACATCTCAAAGATTTTTAAAAATGGTCATTTTCAGGGTTTGTAAAATTTTGCTTTGGTAAGTTTTATAGTTCTATTTTGCCACTACCTTATTTTCCTTTTCTATGTTGATCTTTTACTTTTCTAAGTTAATTTTAACAATTTATATTAATATCTGTTTTTAAACAGGATATGGCTTTTCCCCACTCATTGGCAGTTCCCTGGAGAAAACATCATTTGGAAGAGTTCATTGAAAAATTTCCTAGACAGACACATGCAACATTTACAATAAGAGGCAAGCTTAAAGCACCAGTGTGTCTGTCTTAAGCCAATAACATAATGATCTTAAAATGTCCTCTGCAATTTGACAACTCTGATCCACACTGTCAAGACAACCTCCTTCAGCTCTTTGGGCCACTGCTTCAGCTCAGACCATAGCTACTCATCTGGATATTGCTCTGGCTTCACTCCTGGGTCTCCGCATCCTTACTTGTTTATTCTTCAGCTGATTTTTTTCTTGATATATCAGCTCCTTATTTAGCTTCTCTCTCTCTTTTTAATAAAGATTTATTTGTGTATTTATTTGAAAAGCAAATAGGGGGTGGGGAGAGAGAAAAGAGAAAGAGAATACATACTGGGTCACTCCCCAATAGCCAAATCTGGGCACGACGAACGGACGGCCTGATAGTTCATTTTCTGAGGGAGCAGATGCTTTGCTTTCTCATACAACCGCACCGCCCCACGCAGGGCGCCTGCACTAAATCACGACCCTGACTCAGGAAACCACGGGGACGCCCACCTTTCCCTCCACAAGTAGAGATGATGAAGCAGAGCCGTAGAAACCCTAGCGTCCAGGCCTTCCTCAGTCGCGTCCCCTTCCTTCTCCACGCCTCCCATCTTTGCTTCTCTAGCTCCCAAGGCCGCACAAAAAGCGTGGGAAACAAAGAACCCATGGCATCGTCCCTGCTCGCAGTCAAGTGCAGCCACCGAGACCGCTGGGCAGAAACTCTGGTTCGGGGGAAGGTGTGGCGTGGTGTGTGAATTGTTTAGTTAAAACATCTTCCGCGCGCTTTCGCAATGGGACTACGGGCGGCAGAGTCCCCGGGCCACACAGACACTCTCCACAGCCGCGCGCCTTTCCCCGCAACTCCCGGCCCCGCCCCCTGACGGCCCGCCCTCGGGCCCGCGCGGAGCTCGGCTACTGGCCCCGCCCCCTGACGGCCCGCCCTCGGGCCCGCGCGGAGCTCGGCTACTGGCCCCGCCCCCTATGGCCCGGCATCCTCTCGGCCCCTCCCCGCCAGGGTCCCCTCCCCGCCAGGGTCCCCGCCCCGCGTGGCGCCCGGCCGGCGGGCCCGCTTCCCCGACTCGCGCTCCCTTCCTGCCGCGCGAGGGCGGAGTCGAGCCTGCTGTGAGGACTCGAGCGAGCGGCCGGAGGAGGAGCCCGGGGGCTAGGGCTGGCGGTCCGCTGCCATGGCGCTGCCGGCCCGCGGCCTCTCGCTGCTCGGCGGCCGCCTGGGCCGCGTGCCAGCGGGTGCCCGGGGACAGGCCGGGCCCGCGTCCCGGGGCTTTCGGAGCAGCGGCGTGAGGTAGGAACGCCGGGGTGGCTGGGCCGCGGGCTCGTGGGCAGCGGCGCGGCGGGGCTGGGCGAGGCCTGCCCACCTTGGCCGTGAACGTGGGCCCGAGGGTCGCATCCGCCTCATCCCGGGGCGCATCGACGTGCGCGGCTCGGGGCTCCCGCGCCGGAAGGGTCCGCCTCTGCCGCGGGTGCAGCTGAGTGATTTAGGAAGACACTTGAGGCGCTGGGAAACACGTGGTGTGCTTGGTCAAACCCTTGGTTTTGTTTTGAATATTGGCGTTTCGATGAGTAGGTGTTGTCCGCATGGCTTGCTAGTGGCTGAGTTTCTGAATTCTTTTGTTAATGGTGCTGCCAAGGTCCAGCTCTTAAAACTCCAGGCGGTTTCACAAAATTAAGATATTCGCCCCGATTCCTCAGTCTTTTTTCTGTAACCTCCCTAAAGCGATGGGCCTAAGAGTCACTGTGTCTCTTTGGGCTCCGTTGCTGGCAAGCGCTTTGCAAATACGGGAGGTACAGCTGCAACCCATCTGCACTGTGTTGCCCGGGAACGCTTCATCCTTCCGACGTGTACTTTGTCTCCGTTGTAAAACCCAACCCGAGAAGATAAAAATATGTTGGCTTGCCCCAGACCCAATGAGTTTAGAAGTACGTGTTTTCAAACGTTAAGGGCTGCAGGTAGTGGACTTTCAGTGCTTGTTCTGCGTAGTCAGACTCCTTTTACTCGTTTGTTTGTGCCCCGGGTGCCTTCACAGTACCTGGAAGAAAGGAATCAGTAACAAGTAAACGCAGATGCTGCTTACTTAATTCTCCCAGTCAGCTCCCCATTGTGTACAGATGGATCTTCATCGTGGGTGACTGAATTTAAGCATTCCTTCCAGTGACTAGGGCTTCACCAGGATATGTGAAAAGTCACAGTGCTTCAGAGTTAGGGTTGAGTAAGCTGTAGTGGTGTCTGTAAGAATTTTCCACTTGGTTTGAAACTACTTAGGAAAAGCAAATTCCACAGAAATCTATTTGTATTGCAGAATTGAGGGGGTGGTCTACTGTTGTAAATCTCAATTGTTATTTGAGGTCATTATTTTTTGATTCATTTGTTTTAGGGCTTCTTTCCTGAACAAGGATAACCTTTTTCCAAATTGTACAAGTTGATTAATTGCCCTTCATCATTCTGATGTAAACAGCTCCATCTCTCCATCCTCTTCATGATCTGCATATATTGACTAAGAATCACAAGCAATAGTTAGAAAATAAATATTTGGCTGTAGCCACATGCTTTATATACAGAAACACAAACACACATGCCCACTCATGGAGAATTCAGATATTTTCAATTATATTTAATGGCCTCTCTATAATTTCAAATAGTTGAGTGCCATAGCTTTGGAAAGTTATTTTTCATAGGGTGATAAGAAGTATTATTTGGAAAGTTATTTTTCATAGGATGATAAAAAGTATTACTTTCAGTCTGACTGCTCTCAGCCTTATTTGATGCACATTATAACCACAGAAGTAATTTTTATAGTTTTTTTTTTAATCAAGCTAGGAAAGGTGGTGTTCTTGACATTCTCTTGGCATTAAATGCCATGTTGGAAGGCAAAGCTGCTGTAACACTGAGAAACAGCTGTGGACTGGTGGGTCTGTGATGGGGAGGAATTCCGACAGTGTGTTGATGCTTATTGGTGTCTCTTTTCTCTTCTAGGACCAGCAGAGAGAAGAGATTCCATCTTCCAGAGGTCTCCACTGTCTGCCTCCCCACTTGTCCCCATCCTCAGCCAGCTTTTTTTTTTTTTTTTTAATATGTGGGGACACACTAGTTGTCTAGTTCTTCATAGTGAATGTGGTTTAAATCTGGTGTCGTTCCTGTTGACATAAGATTTGAACTTTGTGTTATTCTTACTGAAAATTGTTTCTGAGTTTGATAAACTTTTCCCAAGTGATATTGACTATTTTAAATTTCCAGTTTCCTTATCACATTTTTTAGTTGTCTGGAGCCTTAGATGAAAAAATACTTTTGATTATTGTTTCACGTCTTTTTTTCTAACTAAGACACATAATAATGGAATATCTTAAATAGTTTTTTAGTGAAATTTTTTGAATCAGTAATGGAATTTGGAAGTTACGATTTTCCGTTCTGTGTAAAGAGTTTACAAATCATGATGTCTTGGGTGTAAAAGTCACATGAGTTTTGGGCCTGGTGCTTTTCAGTGTATGGAGCCTGGCAGTAACATATTCCACCTATCCCATTTGTCAGGGGAGGTTACAGATCTTGTCCATTGATACCATGCTCAGTGTGGAATTGCAGCCATCCTGCAGCACTGGGACTTCCTCAAACCCTGCTTTAGATTATCCTACCTAATTACATATTTTTGGTAACTACATGGATATTACAAGCACTTTTTTCCATTTTTATCCTGGTGTAAAGTGAGACTTCAAATCATTAATTTAATAGATTCTCTTTTCCCCTCCTGCTATTATTATTTGAATTTGTAAAAATTTTTGTGTGCCAGCATGCAACTTTTTATGGAAGTTTAACTTTTCTTTAGATTTTGCTGTTGAGGGTCTTATAATTTTGCAGTTTGACTTGTCCATAGCTTTATAATTTTAATGGCTAGGTTTTTTTTCCCCCAAATTACATTTTTGGAACTAGTAAAAGATACTTTGTCAGTCAGCTTTAAATATTCATGTCCTTTAGAATAGTTAAGTTTAATAATAAAGACACATACTGGTAATACTGTTCATTGCTCTTCAAACTGTCCTCTTTAGTACTTACTCAGTATTAGTATCTCTGTAGTAAAGACCTTTTTATCCTTTTATGAGTCTTGAAGGACCCAGATTCCAGTTAGGATCATTGCTAAAGCTAATTTCCTGTAAATTGATTACCTCCAAGATACAGATGTAAAGAGTAGCAGAGGCGCTTTCTTAAAATTACACATCACACTGTTCTGTTGGCTAATGTGATAATGCTTTCTTAATGCTATACTTTAATCAGAGTGATATATAATAGCTACCTGGCTGTGATTTTGATTGCTAAACAGTTATTGTGTTATTTTACTTTTAGAAACTAAATGTGTCGTCATTTGCTGTTTCCTATCTTAGTTTTATTGTCTGTGTCCAGCTGTTCAGAAATGTTATATTCTAATGTAATGTCTCCAAAATCAAGTTTTCTGATTAAAGTGGATCAGTAGATTCTAAGAAGAAACTAATATTAATCTCAGATCTTGTTAGTCAGTCATAGACTTAGTAATAATTTAGCAATTTATTTAATGACCCTAATTTTGCTCTTCAAATGCTTTGAAGTTGTAGTTTTTTCGTGCTAATACTCTGATGAGATGATGAAACAGTAGAAAATAACTCTAGAACATCAGATAATTTTTCATGGTCATGTACTGTGAAGATTTTAAACTAGTTTGCTTACAGATGATTGTGTTGTGGAAGGGAGTTTAAAGAGATTAAGAGTTTAGGTAAAATTTCAACTGTAATAGGGTAAGGTAAATTAAATGATTAGTAACAAATGATATTTGCTGTTAAGGAGTGCAATTTGGACCTAGGAAAACATATTATCTACAAGGTATAAACCTTTGTGGTTAGACTAGAATATAATTTAAATTTAGTAGTAGTGCCAAAGGAGAGCTCAGGGCTTAACCAGCTCCTGCAGTTAACATTTCAAAATATTTTCTGCGTTGCTATTACTAACATTTTAATGACGGTCATATTATGTTAAAACAACTGGATATGACTTACCTAATCATCTTGCTATTTTCCAATGTCTAGTTCTTAGAAAATCTGAAATAATCTCTCGAATTTAGATCATGTGCTTGTCAACATCATACTACGCAGGTTTGTTTCATTTAATGATCTGTACTCGAGTAGATTTCGGCAGTTACACCCATTAAAAAAAGGTATGCCTAGAACTCAAACGTTGTCTGAAGATTCACAATTCTAACGTGAAGACATATACATAGTTTAAAGTAGAATGCCCCCCTTCTTTTTTTATTCACCTTGCAACCACTGTCCTCTTGCTTTTAAGTAATCCAATTGTATTATTTAAAAATAAGTTCTTATTGAAATCTAAGGAGTCCTTTTATTAAACAGTAGGTTGATTTTTTTTTTTTTTCAGATAATCCATTTTCTTTCTTCCTAGTTTGAGATTTCTTTATCTGAAAGGTATGGTTAGAGAGGGGCAGAGAGAGATCTTGCATCAGCTGGTTCACTCCCCAAATGGCTACAGTGGCTGAAGTGAGTAGACCAGAACTCCATCTGGATCTCCCACATGGATAGCCGCAGTACAAGTAATTGGCCAACAAAGATAGAATGTTTATAATTGTCACAACTGAAAGATGTAGACAGTTACTATTTCCATTTAATTTTTTTTTATTTTTGACAGGCAGAGTGGACAGTGAGAGAGAGAGACAGAGAGAAAGGTCTTCCTTTGCCGTTGGTTCACCCTCCAATGGCCGCCACTGCAGCCGGCGCACCGCGCTGATCCGATGGCAGGAGCCAGGTGCTTCTCCTGGTCTCCCATGGGGTGCAGGGCCCAAGCACCTGGGCCATCCTCCACTGCACTCCCTGGCCATAGCAGAGAGCTGGCCTGGAAGAGGGGCAACCGGGACAGAATCCGGCGCCCTGACCGGGACTAGAACCTGGTGTGCCGGCGCCACAAGGTGGAGGATTAGCCTATTGAGCCACGGCACCGGCCCTATTTCCATTTAATAGACTGGAAAAATGAGACTTCAGCAACTTTTCCCAAGATAATACAGTAAATAAATTAGCAAAACAAGGTTTGAACTTGCATTCTCCTCAGTTCTCTGCTCTACCAATAATTTGTAATTGAACTATCTCACTGCTGCCTTTCCCTCATATGAAAATACTTATTAAATCTCATAGAACTTCTGTGAATCAAGAAAGCTAATCTTGCATATATGTCTCTGAAATTATTTTGTCATGGTCTCTCTTTTTTTTTTTTTTAATTTGACAGGCAGAGTTAGAGAGAAAGATAGAAAGGTCTTCCTTCCGTTGGTTCACCCCCCAAATGGCTGCTACAGCCGGTGCTGTGCTGATCCGAAGCCAGGAGCCAGGTGCCTCCCCCCGGTCTCCCATGCGGGTGCAGGGGCCCAAGCACTTGGGCCATCCTTCACTGCCTTCCTGGGCCACAGCAGAGAGCTGGACCAGAAGAGGAGCAACCGGGACCAGAACCCAGTGCCCATATGGGATGCCGGCGCCATAGGCGGAGGATTAACCAAGTGAGCCACGGCGCTGGCCCCTGTCATGGTCTCTTAATGCCAGATGTTCTTGACCTAGGATTTCATGAAGAGAATTCAGGAGATCCATAAACTTGAAGTCATTAACTTCTAATAAATTTATAATTTCCTAACATTATAAATAATATTGAAAATAAGACAGTAACATTATTACTTGTGATATGGCTAGTAAAAGCACAATTTTCTTTTCTTTTTAAATATTTATGTATTTATTTGAAAGAGTTACACAGAGAAACAGAAGCAGAGAGAGGTCTTTCATCCACTGATTCACTCCCCAGTTGGCTGGGGCAATCTGAAGCCAGAAGCCAGGAGCTTCCTCTAGGTCTTCCCATGTGGGTGCAGGAGGCCAACAACTTAGGCCATCTTCCACTGCTTTCCCAGGCTGTAGCAGAGAGCTGGATCAGAAGTGCAACAGTCGGTTCTTGAAACAGCACTGGCTTTTCCCACTATGCCACATTACCAGCCCTCACAAATATTTTGTCACAGATTTAATGCAGATACCTCAAATATATACACTCATCACTATTTTGTAACAGTTTTCCAGTAATATTTAGGGTTCAGTACTTCCGTGGTTTCAGATATTTCCTAGGGTGTTGGAAATATCTCCTGAGGGTAAAGTGGACTACTATATAGGTGTATTTGTTTACTCGACTCGGTAGTTATCAGCTGTTGTTTCTCTCTCTCTTTAAAGCTTTATTTATTTGAGAGGTAGAGTTACAGAGAGGGAGAGACAGAAAGGTCTTCCATCTGCTGGGTCACTTCCCAAATGGCTGCAACAGCCTTAGCTGGGCTGATCTGATGCCAGGAGCCAGGAGCTCTGTCCTGGTCTTCCAGGTGGTACAGGGGCCCAAGCACTTGGGCCTTCTTCCACTACTTTCCCTGGCCATAGCAGAAAGCTGGGATCAGAAGAGGAGCAGCCAGGACTCAAACTGGCACCTATATGGGATGCTGGCACTGCAGATGGAACAACTCAGTGCTGGCCCCCATTGTTTCTCTTTTATACCTAACAGTGTCAGAAAGTTCCAGGGAGTTCTGTGGCCAGTCTTTCGTAACAAGTTTGAGTCCAGTTGTGTTCTGTGACAAATTTTGTTAATGAAGATTTTCTCAAATAAGTTCAACTTCTAGAGGCAAAAGTGAATGAATTTTAGGTTAGAATTAAATGTTTTCATCAAAAGTAACCATACAATGTGAAAAGTCATGCCACATTCCTGTGATATTTGTCTCCGAACTGACGACAAAGCAGCATTCGAAATGTGTAGAGGAGCGACGTCGGCAGGAGGGTAGGATAGGACTTTCCACCCCTCATCCCCTTGGAGGTTCATCAATATGAACAACTATCCATGCATGATAATACCTTTGTAAGAGCTAAGGGATGCAAGTGAGGAAATGAAGTGCTAGACTATTGCTCAGAAGTAAGAAAAGATGGAGAGGATGGGAAGGATGGTTTCACATTACATGTGTGACCTCTTCCCTGCTCCGGTAGCACAGCTCATAAGTATCTTCATGCTAGTGCTGTGGCATAGTAGGTTAACGCCGTGGCTTGAAGCGCCAGCATCCCATATGGGCGCCAGTTTGAGACCCAGCTGCTCCACTTCCGATCCAGCTCTGCTATGGCTTGGGAAAGCACAAGATGGCCCATGTGCTTGGGCCCCTGCACCCGCATGGAAGACCTGGAGGAGGCTCCTGGCTCCTGGATTCAGATCAGTGCAGTCCTGGCTGTTGTGGCCAATTGGGGAGTGAACTATCGGATGGGGGACCTCTCTCTGTCTCTCCTCTCTCTCTGTGTAACTCTGACTTTCAAATAAATAAATTTTTTAAAGTATCTTCACTTCAGACTCTAGTAGCAGGTGTGCTCCAGTGAACCTAGTGCTAGGCCAGCCCCTGCAGCTCTATGCTCTAGGTTGGTCTCTTCAGATTCACTCTTCAGTTCATTCTGTGTTCAAAGCTGGCCCACATGGTTCTAGACCCTATACTGTCTACCATCCCGAGGCATAATCCTGGCCCCAGAAACTGGCTGTCTCCTATAGTCCAAGAGTTCAGGCCATCGTCTAATATCAGTGGGGCCACTGCAGCCCCAAACTCCAAGCCAGTACCAGCAGAACCAGCCTTTAGGCCCACTTCAGTGCCAGGTATGGAACCAAGCATTAGTTGACTGGACCCATAGTTATACAAGCTCCAGTGGACTCTGGTGGCAGGCTTTATCCTTTTGACTCAGGTTCCAGACCAGCCTCTACTATCCTGGAACTGAAGCATGCCCCTATGGACCCAACTTCCAAGCTCACCCTGGAGCTAAAGAACTCACTAATGGAACTGGAAATATCCATAGACATTCTCAACAGCAGACACTTCAAGCAGAAGAAAGAAGGAATGAGCTCGAAGACTGGTCATTTGAATTTACTTAGAGGAATAAAAAGAAAAGGCAAAAGCATGTGGTACATAAAGAACATCATCAAGTGAACCAATATGAGTTTTCAGTATCAGAGCAGAGAGAAGGAGAAGAATGCTTACTTAACAGGACAGGTCACCAAGCACCTCTTGATACACTGCATCCTATATTGGAGTGCCTGATTTCAAGACCTGGCTCCAGTACCCATCTAACTTCTTGATAATACACGTGCTCTGAGGTAGTAGGTAATGACCCAATTCATTGTGTTGCTAGCTTGTATGGTAAACCAGCTTTGAGTTGATAATACACGTGCTCTGAGGTAGCAGGTATTGGCCCAATTCATTGTGTTGCTACCTTGTATGGGAGACCAGCTTTGAGTTCCTGCTCCTGACTTTTGCCTTTCCTGGCCCCAGCTGTTATGGTCATTTAGCAAGTTAACCAATAGATGAGAGACTTTGTTGTCTGATATGGCAAGTAGACATCCCAGGTGGCAGCCTAACTTTTGCCAAACTCCTACCTGTAGACTCGCCTTATATTTCACACAACAAACGTGAATCTTAAGGCTTTAAACCATAGAATTCCTAGAAGAAAGTGTAGGGGAACATATCCTTCACCTTGATCTAGGCAAAGATTTCTTGGGGATATGACCCCCAGAACATAGGAAACCAAAGGAAAAATAGACAAATGGGATTGCATCAAACTAAAAAACATGAACAGCCAAAGAAAACAGTTATCAGAGGTAAGAAACAACCTACAGAATGGAAGAAAATATTTTGAAGGTGCACATCTAGCAATATTCAGAATATAAAAGGAATTCAACTCAGTAGCAAAAAACAAAAGCAGTTTAAAAAATCAGCAGTAGATGTGAACAGATATTTCTCAAAAGAAGATAGAAATGGATACCTGAAAAAATTTTCAACATCACTAATCATCAGGGGAATGCAAATCAAAACCTCAATGAGATATCACCTCACTCTAGTAAGATTGGCTGTTACAAAAAGAAGATATAGCAAGTGTTGGCAAGGATGTAGAGAAAAAGAAACCCTTGCACACTGTTGGTGGGGATGTAAATTAGTACAGCCTTTCTGGAAAACACTTGGAGATTCCTCACAAAACTTTAAGAGCTGCCAAATGATCCAGCAATTCCACTCCACTCCTGGGTATACATCCAAAGAAAATGAAATCCATCTGTTGAGATATTTGTATTCTCATATTTTTTGCAGTGCCATTCACAGTAATCAAGAATTAACATGTCTATCCGCCAATGAATGGATAAAGAAAATGGGTACATATACATGATAGAATATTACACAATTCAAAAGGATTGAATCTTGTTATTTGCGGCAATGTAGATGAAACTAGAGATCATTATGTTAAGAGAAATAAGTCAAGCACAGAAAGACAGTACCACATGATCTCACTCAAATGTAGAGTCTTAAAAAATATAGGTGATCTTGTATAAGGTAAAAGCAATGGTGGTAACCAGAGGCTAGGAAGGTAAGAGGAGAGGAAGGAACAAGGAAAGGCTGATTGGTAAATACCAGGTTCTGGTTTGCTGGGAGTATCATTTTTTGTATTCTATTGCACAATAGGGTGACTATAGATAATGCACTATATTTTTCTCTCAAAAATATCTAGAAGATAGGCTTTGGGAAGTGTTCACTATGGAGACATTGAATGTTTGAAAGGATAAAAATACGTATCCTAATTGATATATAATGTACACATGTAATGAGATATCACATATTACCCCTTAAATATATATATGTTTTTGATGTGTTGAATATGTTAACTCACTTCATTTAATTATTTCACTATATATCCATATATATGTATCAGAGTGTCATATTTTATCCCATGAATACAGATAATTTTTATTCACCAATTACACCTTAATGAGCTGGGAGAAAAGTGAATACTGAACTCAAATATAAATCCTGAAAAGTGACTGCCAGATTATTACTAAATATTAACTTCCAAATAAATACCAAAATCAGACGTAGACAAGTGGTTAAAAGAGATAAATTGGCATAAGATACAAGGACTTCAAATGGCCAGTAGCCCTCTAAGAGGTCCAGACACTAATAATTAGGGAAACGTATATCAAAACCACAATGAAATGGCATTTAGCTAATTAATGAAAGTTTAAAAGTTTGACAGTATCAAAAAGTAGATCAGCATAGAGTCTAGTGAAAAATAGAGTCATTTCAATAAGAAGGTAAGATATTATGAAGGTAGGAAGAGGATGCTGTGAAACCTTATAGCCAAGACAGTTCCCCCAGGTTTTAGGGGTCAGGAAGCAGTTCCCAGAGTATTTTCCAAGCTGAAACTTGAGTAGTATGTGAGACAGACTTGGTAGGAAGTTGGGGAGGTGAGAAAGAGAAGGAAGTATTTCTGACAAAGATAATAGTATCTGTGAAGGCCCAGAAGTCAGAACATAGCAATGTTGATGAATGAAAATATTGCTGGTATGTATTGTGGGGTGTCGCTCCCCGTCTTTGTGGAGGAACGACACAGGACCCTGCGCTGTTCTTTCGTCTGCTCGGCCCTCCCCGGGTTTCCTGCTGGTTCTTCCCGGGTTGGCTACCGTCCCTTCCACCTCCGTGGAAGGGCAGTTCCCCCTGGCCACTTTCCCCACTTCCGCGGGGGAGTGGCACACCACCGGCCGGCTCTCTCGGGGGCTGCACAGGTGTTCCTTCAGATAGATGTTCCCCTTAGATGTTCCTGGTGCATGTTGTCTCTCTCCTCCTTTATAGTCCTCTTCCACCAATCCCAACTCGGCTGCCCACACGCCGAGTACGCTGCTCTCCTCCAATCAGGAGCAGGATCAGCTCCTGGAGGTCATCACTCAAGTTGGCAAGAGGCAGCTGCGTAGAAGCTGTTTTCTCCTCTCCCAGCGCCATATTGTGGGAGAGCAGATGCATAGAATAAGTCTTAATTCCAGTAACTTAGTCTAGTCCGGGTTGCTCCCCACAGTGGGGCACGTGAGCAGAGTGTTCTTTAGCAATCTGGCTACGGAAGTTCATGTAGAGGCCTGCAAGCCACAGATGATTTTCATTTAAATTCACTTTTCCTAATTTCTCAAGTCATAATTTTGGAGTCATTGTTGACTTCACAGTAATTCAAATCCAATACCGGATGTCAATAAATCTCAAAAACACTACCCTCAAAACAGACTTTTGAAAAAAGATTTGTTTATTTAAAAGAGAGGAGAGGGAGGGAGGGGGAGAGAGCATGTCTTCTGTCCCCTGGTTCACTCCCCCAGATGGCTGCAATGACCAGTGCTAGGCCAGGCTGAAGCCAGGAGCCAGGTGCTTCATCTGGATTTCCCACATGTGTGGCAGGGCCTCAAACACTTGGGTCATCTGCTGTCATTCCCATGGCTTTAGCAGGCAGCTGGTTCAGAAATGGAAAAGCCAGAACACAAACCAGTGCCCATATGGGATGCTAGTGTCACAGGCAGTGGCTTTACCTGCTTTGCCTTGTGCCAGCCCCACAAGGCAGCATCATCCTAATTGACACCTCCACTGCCAGTGACTTGCCAAAGTTACCATTATCTCTTGCTTCGATACCATGCTAGCCTTTGAGCTGAAATCCCCTTGCCCCCCAGAACTCTACCCTCCATATTTTCACCAATTATTACTTTTAAAATGAAAGTCGGGTCATGCCATACTTGTCAGCACCTCCCAGAGGTTTCTTCTTTTACTCATAGTAAAAGTTAGCATCCCTTTGAAGGCCTATAGGGCCTTATTTGGTCTGGTGACTACTTCTCTGGCTTCATATCTTGTCTTGGTCCCTTGTTCCTTCCAGCAATGTAGTCACTGGTCTCCTTGCCATCACTCAAATGTACCAGACTACTCCTGCCTAAAGGCCTTAGTCCTTGCTGTATACTTCTGTTGGCCTGGAACTTTTCTCTTAAAAAATTCACACTTACTTGCTCCTTTTACTTCTGCTCTGATGTCAACTGACTTAACGGAAAAATGACATGTTAACCAACCTATATAAAATAATTTTATACCTGAGATGTTTCCTTTCTCTTCAATGTCATATATTAAATATTTACTTATAAAAGCAATTTGTTTGTGTTTTCAACTAATTGTAATTTTCATGAAAGTGGGCAATTTTTTTTTTTTTCATAGAGGTAGAGTAGTGAGATTACAAAGAGGCACTGGGAAAGTTTTTGGGATGATGGGTATGTGTATTTTCTGGATTGTTGTGGTGGTTTCCCAAGCATATGTATCAAAAATTTCACATTGCATACTTTAAGTATGTGCAGTTTATTCTGTCATTTAAATTCCTGTTACAAAATAAAGCAGTGGAGCAAGATTGTCAAGATCCATTCTTGTGTTGAACCGAAGAAGTGGTTTTCAAATACGTGGCCTTGTATGAGAGCCTCCAGTGGAAAATTGTTAGGCAGGTTTCCAAGCTTCAGCCCCTAGAGAGCCTAAATCATGTGTATAGTTATGTACCTACACAGTATAGAATCTAGGAGTATAGCAAGTTCAGCAATCTTCCCAGGCAATTTTGATGTATGTACACATAAACCATACATCTGAATTGCATGAGCCTGGATGAGTGCCATTGTTCCCTGGTGCCAGGCTGAAATGAAATATTCTTGATTGGGTTCTACCTAAATGTACAGAAGCCTGTTGGAAAGGGCAGTTGAGTTACCTGGAAGGGACAGCAAGTTTGCATTTAGACTTGACTGATACATATAGTGCCTGCTCCAATTAGAAAATAAAAAGTTTACAGCTACTGGAAAGAATTAATGTGCTTTAAGGACTGCCTTTCCAGCCTTTTGTCTTCTGCTTTATCCTTGTGTTCTTCTTCACAATATTTATTGACCCACAATCGGTGTTCTGTGTAAACATGTGGTACATATCATGCTTTCACCAACCCCTTCTGTAGGGAAAGGACAGGGCAGCAGGAAGCAGCAGCCATCTTCTATTTTTATTAGGTACTTTAACAAAAAAAATGCATTAAGAACAACATAATTCACTGCCTCTAAGTTTGACATCAGAGAGAGCAGAAAAGCCTTCCTATATAGTATATTTTTAGTAGCTTCCCAGGGTTAGATTGTGTCTTCTATCAAAGTATAGCACTTCTTACCTACTTAAGTTTGTATAAACTGCTAGGAATTATTCTGTATAAAAGAAATATTTTTTTAAAGATTTATTTATTTGAAAGGCAAAGTTACAGAGAAACAGAGGCAGAGAGAGAGAGGTCTTCCATCTGCTGTTCTGCTCCCCAAATGGCTGCAGTGGCCAGAGCTTCACCAATCCGAAGCTAGGAGCTGGGAGCTTCTTCCAGGTCTCCCACACAGGTGCAGGGGCCCACACACTTGGGCCATCTTCTAATGCTTTGCCAGGCCATAGCAAAGAACTGGATTGGAAATGAAGCTGCCAGGCCTTGAACCTTCGTCCATGTGGGATCTGGCACTGCAGGCAGCAGCTTTACCACAGCACTGGCCCCTAAACTTTTTAAAGTTAGATATGTTGCTGTAGTGTGGGGGAGCAACTGAATCATTTGTTTACTGAGCAATTCCCTGCCACAATCAATGACAAACATGGCAAGACTGGTAACTGTTGCCATGGAATTGATCTGGGGTTGTGAACTGAAACTTTTTCTTGACTTAAAGACTTAGTATAGGCCGGCGCCATGGCTCACTAGGCTAATCCTCCACCTGTGGCGCCGACACTCCAGGTTCTAGTCCCGGTTGGGGTGCCGGTTCTGTCTCGGTTGCTCTTCTTCCAGTCCAGTTCTCTGCTGTGGCCCCAGAAGGCAGTGGAGGATGGCCCAAGCGCTTGGGCCCTGCACCCGCATGGGAGACCTGGAGGAAGCGTCTGGCTCCTGGCTTCAGATCGGCACAGCACCGGCCATAGCTGCTATTTGGGGGGTGAACCAACGGAAGGAAGACCTTTCTCTCTGTCTCTTTCTCTCACTGTCTAACTCTGCCTGTCAAAAAAAAAAATTTTTTTTTAAAAAGAGTTAGTATGGAGTTTGTCACTTCAGAGTCTCATATAGGATATACTCACAAAGAGCAAACTGATTTACCCTTAGGGTTACAATTCTGTGAGGACCATATAAGAGTAGATACAACAAGGATTACAGCTTTTAAGATGAGTGCTAGCTTTGACTTGGCTACGTTGATCTCCCTCCTCAGAAAAACAGCAGTGCTTTTAATATGGCTAATATTGTAATATCGATTGTGAATAGTGTGATAATTTAAATAGATATGTATGTGTATATGAGTGCATATAGAGATGGTGATCAGTTGCTATAACAGAATACTAGAGTGAGTGGCTTATCAAACAGAAATTCTCTTCTCATAGTTCTGAATACTGGGAATTATAGGATCAAGGCAGGAGCAAATTCAGTGTGATTGAGGGCCTGCTTGGTTCACTGTTGATCATCTTCTGTGTCTTCATGTGGTAGAGGAGATACTCTCTGGAGTATCTCATATAAGAGCATTAATCCCACTTATGAAGGCTGCATCGCCTGACCTAATCACCTCCCAAAGGTGCCACCTTCTGATACCATAACACATGAATTTTGGAGAAAGGCGAGGCTGGAGTATTCTCTCTATAGTGAATAGATTGTAATATAGAGATAAACAAAGTTGAGATCCTTCAGAAAATTAGGAATACATTTATGAACCTGAAGGGAGAGTGTCAAATATAGTTGGAAAAATCAAATTTGGGATACTCAATTGAAGAATCATAGATGTTTTGTCTTGTGCCTTAATTTATGCAGGTGAATGTTTCTGATGCTCTCTTTAGTATTACCTTTGCTGTTTATTTTCCATAGACATGAAGCTGTTATTATCTCAGGAACTGAAATGGCAAAACAAATCCAGAAAGAAATACGGCAAGATGTGGAATCCTGGGTTGCCCTTGGAAACCGAAGACCTCACCTCAGTATAATTTTAGTGGGGAATAACCCAGCAAGCCATACGTATGTCAGAAATAAGATAAGAGCTGCTTCTGCTGTAGGTAGGTATTCATTGTAGTTGTAATTGTTACTAAATTTATGTTTCTACATAAAAATGTGATTATGGTAATTATGAAGTAATAATGATCAAATAAGTGCTATTCAAATTATATATTATTACTCATGAGGTATTATTCAATGAACAAAGATTGTTAATTTCTTAGTATTTTTCTACAAATTTCTTCTTGAATCAATTCAATGTAATTTCCTATCCAATGATAAGATGTGAGAAGAATATATTACATTGAAAGGGTCTATTTTTATTACATCTATTTTAGTCAAATAATAAATCTGGCTGGTTTATTTGCTGAACTTGGCCTAATAGTGGTGGTAGTAGAGGTATCTTTGGGGTATTCAAATCTACGAACTGTAGCTTATCTCAAATTAGTTCAAATTGTCAAGTAGGGTGCTGGGCCAAAGAATGCACGTGAGGCACAAAAGACACCTGTGCTAGTGGAGAAATCCTTCCGATGGTACATGGGTCATCACCTTCGCAGAACGGTCTTTCTTTCCAGTGTGACCGAAGCATGGGCAACCAGTCTGACACTGTGTAAGACACCTGTAATGTAAAACCACATCTTGACTAGCCAGGTAACTTTTTCTCTGTTTATTTTTCTTCCAGGTATCTGTAGTGAGCTCATTCTAAAACCTAAGGATGTTTCTCAAGAAGAACTCTTGGATATAACTGATCAATTGAACATGGACCCAAGAGTCAGTGGTATATTAGTTCAGTTACCACTACCAGGTACTTGATGCTCTTCTGTATCTCTCTTTTGGTCAGGAAAAAGGGCATTTTAAACATGGTATCATGACACTGCCAGAAATATATAAAATATGTTCAGAAGGGGATTAGCATTATACTAATAGCGGGCTTAGTAGGTGTTGGTTTTTTAATGCTTTATATTGACAGTGATGAAAAACTGAAAAATCTTTAGTCCTCATCAATAAATACACCCCTTGCTTTGTACAGTAGTGCAGCATCATAAGATTGACTGTGCAAGCTAAATCCACAGAAAATCAACTTAATAATCAATGGAGAAATATTTTTTCTGTGACATTTAGCAGTTGTTGTGAAAGCATTAAAACTTTCCTGCAGGCCGGCGCCATGGCTCACTTGGCTAATTCTCCACCTGCGGCGCTGGCACCCCAGGTTCTAGTCCTAGTTTGGGCGCTGGTTCTGTCATGGTTGCTCCTCTTCCAGTCCAACTCTCTGCTGTGGCCCGGGAGTGCAGTGGAGGATGGCCCAAGTCCTTGGGCCTTGCACACGCATGGGAGACCAGGAGGAAGCACCTGGCTCCTGGCTTCAGATCGGCGCAGTGCGCCAGCCACAGTGGGCATTTGCGGGGTGAACCAACAGAAAGGAAGACCTTTCTCTCTCTCTCTCGCTGTCTCTCACTGTCTAACTCTGCCTGTCCAAAAAACAAAACAAAACAAAACAAAAAAAAACCTTTCCTACAATATATAACATACAATGTGGAACAAGTTTCTTTTCCATGCCTTGGAAGATTGAATTATCAGACTGTTTTCTGTCTCTGAATCAGTCTCCAGCATTTTGCTCTTTGTACTTTCAATGTCACAAACTATCTCTGAGAGTTCCTTTAATGTGAAATTTTATGCACATGTCACTTCCTCTGGGGCATTGTCTTCCTTTTCATCACCATTCCTTTCTTTGGTGATGTGGATCATTTTCTCTGCTTATCTTCTCTCTCCAGGGATGGAGTGTCAACATTCCTCAGTCAGTTCTTGTTGCACAACTCCATTTACATTCAACTCAAATCTGTTAAAATGACTTTATCTTATTTTATATGTTTATCAGGCTTTTTAAAAGCGTGGTTCCTACCTTCACTTCATTTTGGCCTCATTTCCTCTGTATTTGTTTTGCTGTCATTGTTTTTGAATCTTCCCATATGCAGTTTACTGCCAGCATTGTCACATTTTGTTTCTTTAATATATTTTCATCTTTGTAGACTAATCCCCTCTGTTGAGTGTCTACTTGTGTAAAATGTCATGTGGGTTTATCTGCCTGGGAGATGTGGGTATAGCACACTAAGCTATCTGTGTGTGGACTGAATAATAAGCGTGCAGTGACCAATCATTGACAATATTTGAGAGAGGTAGTATGAGTGGTCACTGATCATCATGCTCCTCTGTTAGTTACATAGTGACTTGTGGACCAAGGAGCCAACAGTTCTTATTTAACTGCTCACTGTTAACACAGCATGGTAGCTGACATATGTACTGTGTGGTTGGAGGACTGGTGTTATTTGACTAAACTGTGATTTTGAAATTCATGCATATTTGACCTGTGCAAGGCTAGGACTGCCAATATAGTGTAGGTTATAGTAGTTTTATGCAATTTTGAGTTCTGTAAGGTATGGTCAATGAAACTTATTGACAAGCAGAAACTTATTGACAAGCAGAAAATAAAGCTGTATAAGGCTATTATCAGGCTTCTTTATTTAATATTTAAATTTTTTATTTGATAATATGACTTAATGTCTTACTCTATGTTATTGCTTTTTTACCTTTCTATATTTGAAAAATTCATTTTCCTACAATGTAGCTGCACTAAAAGAACCCCAATAATTTGGAAAGGATCTTAGAAGTTATCAAGGTGTCACACCCCTCAGAAAAATGTTCTGACAAACAATACAATAGAATCATCATGTTAAAATCAGTAGTGATATATCACCTAGTTCTAAGACTAGAAAAATAATTCAACAAATGCAGCACTCTGATTTCATTTCACAGGAAAGTAAGGTCTAGAGAAGATCAAGAGCTTATGAACATCACGAATCTGTCCAAAAATTTAACAGTATTTGGCAACTGTTTGGCTCATGCAAAAATAATCTCTTTTTTTGATACTGTATTTTCCCAACAATCTTAGTTTTCTCTTTTGGAAATTTCTCCCATTTATATTTTTATGACATTCAAACTGTTATATAAAACATGTCACAATATTAATTCTTAAAATGTCCATACTATCCTAAGTGATCTAAGGATTCACTGTAATTCCACTCCCAATTCTAATGGTATTTTCCCAGAAATAGGAAAAACAATCCTAAAATTCACGTGGAACCACAAAAGGCTATGAATAGCTAAAGCAAAAACTGAGCAAAAAGAACAAAGATAGAAGTGTAATACTATTCCAAAATCTACTTAAAACTATAGAAACTAAAACAGCATGGTACCAACACAAATAGACATATTGAAAAATGGAATAGAATAGAGTACCCAGGAATAAGCCCATACGCTTAAGGTCAACTGATATTCGACAAAGGTGACAAGAACACACATGGGGAAAGGACAATTTTGTCAGTAGATGCTGATGGCAAAACTAGATATCCACATGTAGAAGACTGAAATTAGACTTTTTTCTCACTCCACAAAAATAACCAGCTCAAAATAGATGAAAGACTTACATGCAGACCTGCAAACTACTAATTGGGCAAAAATCAGGGGAAAACCTTGGGAAAAAATGGGGAAAACTTGGTTTGGAAAACCTGCAAAGAATTTTTAGGTGTAATCCCAAAAGAACTGGCAACAAAAAACAAAAAAAGACAAATGAATCAAACTAAAAAGCTTATGTGCAGTAAACACTCAACTGAATGAAGGGACAACCTGCAGAATGCGAGAAAACCTTTGCAAAGTATGCATCTGATGAGAGATTAATATCTAAATTGTATAAGGAACTCAAACAGCTCAATAGCAAGAAAACAAATAACCTGACTAAAAACGGGCAGAAAACTGAAAAAATATTTCTCAAAAGAAGATCTGCGAATGGCCAGCAAGTATATAAAACAAAATGCTGAACAATCCTAATCATTAGAGTATAGCAAATTAAAACCACAATGAGATATCATATCATATCTGTTATGGTGAATATATTCAAGGATATGAAAGATAACAAATGCTGGCATGAGTGTGGAGAAAAAGGGTCCTTATACATTATTGTTTTATATCCATTATGGAAAAAATATGGAGGTTCTTCAGATTTTAAATAGAATTGCCATATGATTTGTCTAGAAATCCCACTTCTGGGCATATATCTAAAAGAAATGTAACCAGTATATTGAAGGAATGTCTGTAGTCATGTTCATTGTAGCATACTCTCAATATCCAAGATATTGAATCAACTTAAGTGCTCAAGAAGAAATGAATAAAGAAAATATGGTCTGTATGCACGATGGCTTACTGTTCAGCTTTTAAAAAGAGTGAAATTCTGTCAGTTATGCCAACATTGATTAACCTGGAATACATTATGCTAAGTGAAATAAGCCAGATACAGAAAGACAAGTATCATCTGATCTCACTTACATGTAGAATGTTAAAAAGTCAAGTTCATAGAGACTTAGAGCATAATGATGACTACCAGGGCCTGGGGACTTGTGGATGGCAAGGATTGTGAGATCACTGGTCAAAGGGTACAAAATTTCAGTTAGCATTACTTAAGTTCTGAGATCTATTATATAACATGATGACTCCAGTTAATACATATTGTAAAGTTACTTGAAAATTGCTAATAAAGTATATTTCAAATGTTCTTACTACATAAAAATATTTTATATGCTGTTAATTAGCTTGATAGCCATCCTATAATACATATTTATATATCAAAACATTTATAACACAAGAGATAATTTTTTCAGTAAAAATATTAAAATGTTAACTATTTTAATATTAATTTTTAAAATATTAATTTAAACTATATTCTATTTAATATGTCATATATTTATAGCTACATTAGATTTAGTTTGCTTTAAAATCAAATTTATATCTGTGTGATGAGAAACATTTCTCATTTGATGAATGTGTTAGCAATTTGCCACCAGATGGCAGTGGTGATCTATTTGTCCTGAAGACTAACTTGCTTGAATCCTGCATTCATTTCAGAGAAGGGATTATAGTAAAAGCAAATAACTGAATGCTCTGAGAAAGGATAGTTTGCTATCTAACCAAAAAGCCAATTATATACAAAATAATAGTGGCTCACATTTATTACATTAAGCATTTATTATGCCAGGCACGTTATATTTACTAACATATTAAATCAATGCAGTAATCATTGTGCAGTAATCCTGTGGCATTGTGTATATTTTCCTGATGAGAAATTTGAGCCACAGAGACATTAAATGACTTGTACTTTAGTAGCAGAGTTGCAAGGTAATGGAGCTGGGATTTGGGTCTGGCCAGACTGGCCTGTGCCAATCCTATTGACCATTGTGCTAGCACCCTCACCCACATTGTATCAGTGTTAGCCAGTGAGTAATGTGTGCTTACTATGTGGTAGGTACTCCTTAATATGGAATACTTTGTTTAACCTTCAAAATGCCCTTATGTGGTCGGAATTGTCTTCTTCATTTTACAGATAAGGAGACAGACACAGGGAGCTTAAATGAATTGTTCAATATTACCTGATAGTAAATGGTAGAGCTAAGATCCAAACCCAGGCTGTCTCATTCCAGAGCTTGACTTTTAAATACTCCATTTTATTCATGTATTTTTTATTTGTCTGAAAAGCAGAAATACAGACATGGACAGATGGACACAGATCTCCCATCCACTGCTTCACTCCCCAAATGCCCATAACAGCTGGCCTGGGCCAGGCCAGGAGCCAGGAATTAAATGGGGATCTCCAACGTAGGTGGTGTGGGTGGCAGGAACCCAGTGACCTAAGTTGTTACCCCTGCCTGCCAGGATGCACATTAGCAGGAAGTTAAAATCTGGAGGGGAGTCAGGACTGGA